AGGGGTTGCTTCTTTTATCCTGGAATTTCAGAGCCATCATTAGAAACTTATGCCACACATCACCCATCTTGAAGACCAAGCTTTTTCTGACACTTTTAAAAAAAATGTTTTTTTTGCTAGAATTACTTTGAAACCCCAAATATTATATATTTATTTAAAGCAGAGGCCCTAGAGAATAAAACGGTGGATGTTGAAATTTTTACATCACACATTATTTGCGCAACGATTTTTCAAATGCAAATCCTTTGGGGAAAATACACTTTGTACCTTTAATGCACAAAAGCACAATATATTGCCCAATTGTTTAATAAATTATAAAAGATGATGTTACACCGAATAAATAGATACCAAACATGACATGCTTTAAAATTGCGTATGCCTGTGCAATGGCAACAAAGTACATACATTTTTATTATTGATAGGCAACACTTTAAAAGCCTTTACAGGTCACCAATTTATATTTACACAGGAGGTCTAGTGCGAGAATTACTGCCCTCGATCTGACGTTCATGGTGATACCTCACATGCATGGTACAACCGCTGTTTACATACCATCACATGGTCAATGCTTGCACGCGCAGGGGTGCCTGTAGCTCACGCCTGGCTGCAGTAGCACGCGCAGGGGTGCCTGAGGCTGCCGCCCGGCCACAGTACATTGTGGTCGGGCGGGTGGGAAGTGGTTAAAATGTACGTGTGATGGTGATTGTCTCCAGGGCTTTTTTTCAGCGAGATCATGAGGGAACGCACTCCTGGCATCTCCAGCACTGAATTTATGTAATGGCAAGGGGAGCTGGGTTGTGCTGGAGGGTCTATTGATGCTGGCGGCAGGAGGATCTATGCTCAATGGAGGGGTCTATTTTTGTGTGGTCGCATATTGTTGCTGAGGAGGTCTATTGTTGCTGGAGAGGGATCTTTTGTTGTTGGAAGGGATCTACTTTTGAGGGAGGGGTCTATTCTTGTTTGCTAATAGGAGATCTGTTGTTACTACTGGGGGTCTATGGTTGCTGGGGTGTTATTTTGTTGCAGGGGTCCATTCTTGCTGGGGGAATCTATTGTTGCTGGTGGAGTTATTTTTGCTAGCTGCAGGGAATTTTACTGCTTTTCTTGTTAACATTTACAAATTCTATACAAAATGGTACTTGGCTCTGTATTCTCTAAAAAGTGCGCTACTGGGAGGTGTGTTGGGGGTGGAACTGAGCGACAATGCTCAGAGGTGAGTAGGGGGTGGAAACAAGGGGTGACTCAGAAGGGGGGCGTTCCTGCACCTATTCTCTGAGAAAAAAAGCCCTGATTATCTCTAATGATCATTGGTCTCTTATGGTAGTCTGTAATCACTATTTTTAATTGCTGATTGTACAATGAGTTATTTGTTAAAGCGATAATAAAAAGCAAAAAAAATAAAAAATTGGGCATCTGCAGGATAATGTCATAATGTGCTAGTGTGCGTTGCATATTAGCACATTATGACAGACTGACCCTCCAGAAGTCAGCTGTCACAATTGACAGGGCTTCCTTCTTCACCCAGTCTTCTTTCTGGGTTTGCAAAGACATCATGGGTGTCACGGCCACAGCACAGAACTCAGAATGGATGATGGCACTGTCCATTCAGAGCACAGTGTGCATGCGTCGGTGATATCACTGGCTGCTATAAATATCTCCTAGATGGTGCATGTTTAGGAGATATTTACTGTACCTACAAGTAAGCCTTATTATAGGCTTTACTGTAGGTATAAATAAAAAAATGGAGTTTACTAATGGTTTAATGCACATGCAAGGGGATATTTTGAAGCTATTTTTGCTATAATCACATGGATTGGGGCATAAGGAAACCAGCAAGGAGAGCGCTGTACTGTACAATGTTCAGAGACGATCTGAGCAGTTCTGTACCATGTGATTGCTGTGATGACCAATCAAGCAATCACAACCCCCCACATCCATCTCTAGCATGTCTCTGCATGTGACCCTTTCATTATATAAAGTGACTGCCTTATCCTGCACACCCATACATGAACCCCTTCATCTCCAACCTGCCACTGTATATGGCCTGTTTACTAACCCCTTCATCTCCTCCTTCCTCACTGTATTACCTGTATGCGTTTGTAGTATATGTAGTGCTCCATTACCAAGCTCTGTGTTTTAACATCCTCAATACCAGCATCTTTCTTCATTAAAAAAATTGTCCTGGCTTTTTTAATTTGATGTGTTTTATAACATAAAGTAAATAATAAAAACACAGACCAGAAGAAGGTATATAAGAGTTATTTACTAAAACTGGAGAGTGCAAAATCTGGTGCAGCCCTGCATAGAAACCAATCAGCTTCTAGTTTTTATTGCCAAAGCTTAATTGAACAAGCTGAAGTTAAAAGATGATTGGCTGCCATTCACAGCTGCACCAGATTGTTAGTGAACCAGTTTTAGTAACTCTCTCCCCATCTGTCTAAAAAGAAAGGATATAAAATTAATTTGGGTCCAGTGTCATTTGTTGAAGGGATTATCAGTCGAGGTATCACAGCACCAAAACAGAAAACTCTCCTGCTAATGAATGGGTATTACTGGCTACTCAAGTGCTTAAAGGGTAGCTCTGCTTTTGTGGGAAAAAAATATCAAATAAAAAATTAATAGAGCATATACAATTGCTACACAGGTCATATTGTAATTGAAACGTCCCCCAGAAGTGAATTTTCCTGCTTGTGTGATTGGCTTACTGATTTTCCAAGAAGTCTGTCAGATTTTGGGCACACCTGCAACAAAAATGTCATTTTTGGTGAGATGCCTCCAAGGAGAAATCACATCTAAAGGGATGCAGACCCTGGCAATTTCCTCATTAGAGACCTGCAAATGCAGTAGCTGATTGATATAAAGTCACATCTTTCCACATTTCCACACACAAATGGCTATTTCTTCAAAATAACAAAAGGTAGGACTCTGCAACAAAGTTTTTTTTTTTTTTAAAGTGTTACGAAACCAACAACGGTAAAATTAGTCTGTATATGCACTACAGCATGCTTGTTACACTCCCTGTGGAACCTAAGGGGTTAAACCTCTGCATTGTGTAAAAAGGTTGTTTGATCCTGTCTTTTTTTATCCTCCCCTTCTTCCACTGTCACCAATCCATCTGCTGATAGTATAGAGCCCTGGGAGCCACTCTGCACATGCTCAACTTGGTGCGTATTACTAGAGCAGAGTTTCTCAACTAGTGTTGCTCCAGAGGGTGCTAGGGATTCCTTGAGCAATGAGCAATTCCTGCCAGTCAGATAAGTTCCCACTGATATCATTGATCTTTTTAGCTGTCTATAAGGGGTTAATTCTTCCGAATGACCACAAGTGTAAGGAGCATTCTTCCCACAGACAATCTCTCCAATGTATCATGAGTTGTATATATAGTAATGTTTAGCAGGGTTTCCCTGAGTCCCGAAAGTTATTTTAAAGGTTGCTCTGTGTTTAGAAAGGCTAGAGGTTTTTTTTTCTTTGGGAGGGTGCATGTGATCAGCACAGGGCCAATCAGCACTCTCCAAACAGAGGGTCAGGGGTTATGCAGCCTCATAGGACAATCAGGGGAGAAAACTCCTCAAGCTTTAACCACTGCTCAGCTGGACACTGATAGAAGACACAAGACTGCTCTAATTGCTGATGAGAAAAGGTATTTAGCTGTTTATATTTACTGAAATAATTGCATTTCCATGTTGTGTGTACTGTGGAAGACCAGATATAGTAAATACAGGGTCCTGGGTATAGTAACACTTTAAATCCCCGCAATGCACATAGATCACCCGAGGGTGGAGTTACTCTTTAAAGATGACAACTCCATTTAATATCTTTGCAAGTTTTATTAATTTTCTATAGTGTGTATATAATTGTATTTCAAGGTGGAACCTGAGTTCTCTGCAATGTTGCTGAATATGTTGAGATAGATAGATAGATAGATAGATAGATAGATAGATAGATAGATAGATAGATAGATACAGATAGATAGATAGATATAGATAGATAGATAGATAGATAGATAGATAGATAGATAGATAGATAGATAGATAGATATACATTAATAGATAGATAGATAGATAGATAGATAGATAGATAGATAGATAGATAGATACATTTAATGATAGATAGATAGATAGATAGATAGATAGATAGATAGATAGATAGATAATACATTGATGATAGATAGATAGATAGATAGATAGATAGATAGATAGATAGATAATACATTGATAGATAGATAGATAGATAGATAGATAGATAGATAGATAGATAGATAGATAATACATTGATGATAGATAGATATAGATAGATAGATAGATATAGATAGATAGATAGATAGATAGATAGATAGATAGATAGATAGATAGATAGATAGATGATGATAGATAGATAGATAGATATATAGATAGATGACATAGATAGATAGATAGATAGATAGATAGATAGATAGATAGATAGATAGATAGATAGATAGATATATATGATGATGATAGATAGATAGATAGATAGATAGATAGATAGATAGATAGATAGATAGATAATAGATAGATAGATAGATAGATAGATAGATAATATATTGATGATGATAGATAGATAGATAGATAGATAGATAGATAGATAGATAGATAATATATTGATGATAGATAGATAGATAGATAGATAGATAGATAGATAGATAGATAGATAGATACATTGATGATTGATATATATATTGATAGATAATACATTGATGATAAATAATACATAGATTGTTGTTAGATAAACTGCAATAACTAGATATTCTACCAACAAAGTAATTAAACTGTATCCAGCAGCACTATAATACCCGCAGAATGCTACTTTCTATATAATCTATGAATATATACATTGACCAGGCACATGAAGGCAGTGCATTGTGTACAGGAAGTGGTCACGCCCCGTCTACTCAGGACAGCCAATCAGATGACAGCCGGCAGCAGCGTGCCCTGGTTGCTGTCCTGGTGTGATGCAAGCTGTGTGATCCGGAGCGGGCAGACATGGGAGCCGTAGTGAGCCGAGCTTTGAGGAACTTTAATGTGGAGAGCAGAGCTCACCGGCTCATCGGGAAGGACAAGCCCAGCCTTGCGCCCAGGCACCCGGGCACCAAGGAGCCAGTGACTGGCCTCCTCTCCAGTGAGTGACCTCGTTATCCCTCCACCTTAGTATTGGGAAGAGGGCACAGAGACACACACGGCTGGTGTGCGTTATATCATTCTGCACGCTGCCCTTGGAAGGGGAATACAGCGTGCGTTGTCCCGGAAGTAGTTGTGTAGGCCTTGGGCATGCCGGGAGTTGAAGTCCTGATCAGCGTGGATGGTATTGGAGGTCATTCAGGGTGCTTGTCAGTTCTAATGAGGGAATAATTGTCAGGAGCCCTTCATTTCCATGAACAGTTCAGCTTTATGACATTCACCATTCTTACCTAGGATCAGTTGTAATACTTTAATAATTCCCTGTTTTTAAAGGACAGCTGAACGCAGGAACAAAGTCATACAGTGCAGCTTAGCACTCCTTGGATGTGATGGCTGCATTCATTTTCTCTTTTGTTCAGGCTAAGAACATTTTCAGCACAGAGAGGTGTCTGTTGATTCTTGCAGAAATATGAAAGTGATTTCAGCTTTCCAGGCTATGTTCTGTGAACTACAAAGCCCCTTCTCTATTTGTAACAGAGATGATGAGAGGGAGAAGTTTGTAGTCCAAATCAAGAGAGCACGGTGAAACCACTGGCCCTCCATAGATTCCATCAGGGCTGGAGCAAGGGGTGGGCAGGAGGGGCGGCTGCCTTGGACACTGGTATCATGTGAGGTGGGGGGCACCACAAGGAAATTGGGGGGAGGTGGGAATTGCTCTAGGAGGAGAAATTTGGGAGGTGTGTCGGAAGGATTTTTGTTAGGGGGGGGGGTCAGCAGAGGGGTGATTTGTACTGGGAGGAGGGGGTTTTTATTCTTAGGGGGGGTTAGCATGTAGATTAGTGCTTAATTTTTTTTTTTTTTGGGGGGGGGGGTGCTGATTTGTAATGCTCATACATCTTGTGGGGGGAGGGGAAAATTTGTCATGTTCACCCTGGGCTCTTGTCCTGGCACCGGATATATACAGTGAGTGTTGTCACCCTCGGGTAGGTAGGCTATATTTACACAGGTTATCAGGCACATACAGCAACCCTGGACTGGAGACTGAATTAAGGGTGTGCTATCTTTAACTGCTGGTAACCTCTGGGTGTGTGGGTACATGTGTACAACCAGGGCTCCTGTCAGCCTGTCACTGCTTTGTACAGGCTTCTCAGCCACTCCTGTGATTCGTCTTACTGCTTTTAAATGGTGCCTTTCGATTTTTTTGTTTTTGTTCTTTTATTTTCATGGATTCTACAAACTTGCAAATACTTGTTGATCCTGGTAGCATCTGCTTATTCCAGGGGATGGTTGACATTGCTAGCAATGTTGTATTGACGTGTTAACATTGTCAGCCCACTATTCTGAGCATTTCTTTCCGAGACACAGGGTAAATAGGAAAGGAGGTGGTGTCTGTCTCTATGTGAGAAGTGATCTCAGAGCAAGTGTGAACGAGTTGATGGAGAGTGTGATGATGCTGAAGCATTATGGGTGGTACTGCACATGGGGGTGCATACTACAAAGGTAATCATTGGAGTTTGTTATAGGCCTCCCAGTGTTAATGAGGAGGTGCAGACTCAGCTATTAGACTGATCGAAAGGTCTGCAAGGGATGGGACAGTGATAATAATGGGGAATTTTAACTACCCGGAAATTGACTGGAGCAATGGTACTGCAGGAACAGTTAAAGGGAAACATTTTTAAACTTACTACAGGACAATTTTATGGTACAGTTCATAGAGGCCCCTACTAGGAATGATGCTCTGCTGGATCTGGTAATCTCAAACCATGCAGAGCTTATTACGAATGGCCATATAAAAGAACATCTGGGTAGCAATGACCATAACATGATTTTATTTATTATTATTTAAACAGCAAGCACATACGGGAAATATAAAAACGCTCAATTTCAAGAGAGCTAATTTTCCAAGGCTGAGAGCTGTTCTCCAAGACTTTGACTGGGAGGGAATATTAGCATTGATGAACACAACACAGAAATGGGAGTTCTTCAAAAAGACTGTATGTGAACACACTGCAAAAATATATTCCCATGCGCAACAGGTTTAAAAGGCTAAAAAACAAACCTATGTGGCTTACGGCCAAAGTTAAAAAAAGCTATAGATAATAGGAAAAGAGATTTTTTTAAATATAAAAATGAAGCAACGCTATCGTTTAAACATTACAAAGAATATAACAGAATATGCAAAAAGGAAATAAAGGCCGCAAAAATTGAAAACGAACAACAGATTGCAGAAGATAGCAGGACCAACCCCAAAAAATTCTTCAAATATATTAATAGTAAAAAGGTCAGGTCCGAGCATGTAGTCCCTTTACAAAATAATCTACAGTGGGTGACTGGGGACAAAGAGAAGGCACATTTATTAAATACCTTCTTCAGCTCTGTGTATACAGAGGAGCATGGGGGGACTCTTGTCCATAATGAGCATGGTATTGACACAGCTCCAGATGATCCGCATTGGCTCACAATTGATATGATCCAAAAATATTTAGACAGAATAAAGGTGAATAAAGCACCTGGACCGGATGGCATACACCCACGGATCCTTAAAGAATTGAGGTATAATTGGATTTTGCAAAAGCATTTGACACAGTTCCCCACACATGGCTAATGTGTAAGGTAAAGTCTACAGCTTGGAAAAATCCGTATGTAAATGGATAGAAAACTGGCTGAAAGATTGTATTCAGAGGGTAGTGGTTAATGATTCATACTCTGAATGGTCTAGGGTTGTCAGTGGTGTACCCCAATGTTCAGTGTTGGGACCCTTACTTTTTATTATTTTTATAAACAATATAGGGTCTGGGATTAAATCTACCATTTCAGTCTTTGCAGATGACACCAAGCTGTGCAGTGGAATAATGTCCTTACAGGATGTCTCCAACTTACAAGCCGACCTCAATGCACTGTTTAATTGGGCAACTATGTGGCAAGTTAGGTTTAATGTTGATAAATGTAAGGTTATGCACTTGGGGGCTAAGAATATGCATGCATCATACATACTAGGGGGGGTACAACTGGGGGAATCAATGGTGGAGAAGGATCTGGGAGTTCTGGTAGATCACAAGCTTAATAATGGCATGCAATGCCAAGCTGTGGTTTCTAAAGCGAGCAAAATCCTCTCTTGTATTAAAAGAGGTATAGACTCCAGAGAGAGAGATATATCATATTACCCTGTACAAATCATTAGTAATACCTCATCTGGAATATGCAGTTCAGTTTTGGGCACCAATTCACAAAAAGAACATTGGGGAACTGGAGAAAGTACGGAGAAGGGCAACCAAACTGATAAGAGGCATGGAGAAGCTCAAATATGAGGAAAAATTAGAGGAACTGAATTTATTCTCTCTTGAGAAGAGGAGACTAAGGGGGGGGATATGATCACCATGTATAAATACATCAGTGGTGCATATAGTGAACTCGGTGTAGAGCTATTCACCCTGAGGTCATCACAGAGGACAAGGGGGCACTCTTTACGTCTGGAGGAAAATAAATTTAATCTCCAAACATGGAAAGGTTTCTTCACTGTGAGAGCTGTGAAAATGTGGAATAGACTCCCTCAAGAGTTGGTTCTGGCCAGCTCAGTGGATTACTTTAAAAAAGGCGTGGATTCTTTCTTAGATACACAGAATATAACTGGATACTAACATTTATAGGTAAAGTTGATCCAGGGGAATATCCGATTGCCTCTCAGGGGATCAAGGAATATTTTCCCTGCAGGAGCAAATTTGATCATGCTTTGCTGGGTTTTTTTTTTGCCTTCCTCTGGATCAACTGTGGGTATAGGATTATAACTTGTTTTTTTTTTTTTTAATGGTTGAACTGGATGGACTTTTGTCTTTTTTCAGCCAGACTAACTATGTAAGTATGCTGTACTGATGCACAGTCAGCCTGTAGTCAGCATTGAACCAGTCCATTAGCTCTGCCCCTGACTCTTGTACTGCCTTAATAAAACATATAATGGACAGAAGTTCCTACCATTTTTCTAACATGGGAGCTGAAGTCCTTGATTAGGCAGTGACATTACTGGTTTATCCTGATGTGCTGAAATGGTTACACAACCACTGGAAAATAACTTAAAAAAAAAAAGGCATTTAAAGTGCTTGTATCACCAAAACATTTTTCACATTTTGGAAGGAGTAAGGAATGGATAAAGACCTACAAGGTGTTTTGGGGTTTTTTTTTTTTCAGTCTGTGTCCTGCTTAAGAGATTTCCCTTCACAACTTGTTTTAGGGTTCATGTACACGGGGCGTTTGGAAAACTCTTCTGAACGAAGGAAACTGCTGGAAAACGTAGGTTAAAAAACGTCAGTTAAGCCACGTTTGCATAACGCATTTAGCCGCGTTTATGCACGTTTGCATTTAGAAGAATTTTTAAAGATAACATCAGGAGACCCTCCCAAATGCCCAGAATGCACTGAAAAATAGTAACTTCACTAAAAAAGGCTACTATAATTCCGTATGAATTATTTTATCAAGCCTTGCAGTATTTTAGTAGTGAAAAGCATGCATTAATTGTTTCAGCTGTCAGCGGGATTCCCACTGACAGCTGAATGTAAAAGAAAGAATTGCCGGCAATTAAAAAATAATACAAAATTGGCGTGGGGTCCCCCCCTCCCATCCATACCAAGTCCTTCGAGTCTGGTATGGATTTTGAGGGGAAGCCCCATGCCAAAATTTAAAGAAAAATGGCGTGGGGTTCCCCCCAAAATCCATACCAGACCCTTATCCGAGCATGCAGCCCGGCAGGTCAGGAAAGGGGGGTGCGAGCAAGCGCGAGCGCCCCTCCCCCCCCGAGCCATACCGGGCCACATGCCCTCCTCAAAGCACCTTGTTCCCATGTTGATGAGGACAAGGGCCTCTTCCCCACATCCCTGGGCTTTGGTTGTGGGGGTCTGCAGGCGGGGGGCTTATCGGAATCTGGAAGCCCCTTTAGCAAGGGGGCCCCCAGATCCTGCCCCCCCCCCACATGAATGAGTATGGGCTACCCATTCACAAAAAAAAAAAAAGCTGTAGTGTAGAAAAAGACAGGAATCATTCTTTGACAAGTCCTTTAATAAAAGAATGTCCCCCCAAAGTAAATCCAACGTCAATCACAATGTCTGCCACTCCGAAGAAAAAAAAAAAGGCTCTGCTACCGAAGCTGGCCCTTGGTCGTCTGCTCAGAAGCTGGTTTGACAGTTCTTAAATATGTAAAGGGCGTGGCCACCCAGTGATATCATCGACTGAAGCATGCTAGTCACTGACGTCAGACGGGGCGGGGTCACATATGTGATGGCCCCGCCCCTTACATATTTAAGAACTGTCAAACCAGCTTTTGAGTAAAATATAAATCTAATTTACACAATTGCGTTTTTATTTTAGGTAACCCTGAAATCCAGGAAAAAATGATCAAAAAGGATGATGAGCTTTTATCACGATTGAAGGAAGTTTATGTCGACTCCACGGACCCTTTACCTGAGGTAAATTGCATCGATCAGCCGTAACATTATGACTACCCACCATAACATAATGAAAAAAGGAGGAAGTGGGCAACTCGATCTTCTGAAAGTAATTGTTGCAGGTGAAGTATAGACAATAAACAGGCTTATGCATTAGCATTAGAATGGCTATGACTAAGGTTATAGGCCAAAATGTGTAAGCCTTTGTATTATCTGTACTTCACCTGCAACAATCAAATCATTACTTTTGGAAGATCAAGTTGACGGCTTTCTCCCTTTTCCATGTTGTGTTCGGGAAGACACCACAAGCCAGTACACCAATTTTTTGCTGCTTCGGGAATCAGACCAGGGGTTGCCTTTCCTTCTATGACATTATGACCTCCCACCTAATATTGAGTAGGTCCCCCTTTTTGCTGCCAAAAAATCCCTGATCCATCGAGGCATGGACTCCACTAGACCTCTGAAGTTATGCTGTGGTATTTGGCACCAAGCCATCAGTAGCAGACCACTGCCACCTCTGCTGGCTTGCCTTTTTCCTCTAGTGCATCCTAGTGCCATCTCTTCCCCAGGTAAGAGAAGCACATGCACCCAGCCATAAACACGATGTTAACAGAAAACTTGATTCAACAGACCAGGTCAGCTTCCTCCATTGCTCTGTGATCTAGTTCTGATGCTCACTGCCCATTATAGGCACTTTTGGCTGTGGACACGTGACCCATTAACACTGGAGCGGTGAAAGTTGATGAACAGAGCCCCTTGTGGGCAACCAGAGTTGGAAGAGTTATTAGAAGGAGGAGATCTGATGCTGTATATTGATAAGCGTGTATGCATTGAAACGAAGCTGAGAGTTATGTGAGCACTGAGGTGTTGAAGGTGGCACAAACTGGATCTATTTGGAATTGATTTTGTAGCACTTATCTAGATGGTGTGTATAGTCACTGTTGTGAAAGTACTGCTACACTGCTTAAAGACTGTCATTTCGTCACTTATTTGATTTGCTATTATTCACTTTTTTATTATTGATCACAAATTTTTATTTTTGATTGATGAGCAAAGTTGATTGTTATATTTTATATTTGGTTGTTGATAGGAAGGCCACATGTTGTATTGCACTAGGAATTTTTTTACATACTCACTACAGTCATTACATCTACAACAGCGCAGCATTTTATCTATTTAGTTATTTATAGCTGTGAGAATTTATGTTCAACATTATTGTATGATGTTTTGCACAAGTTTTTTCTGTTATCTATTTAGGTTGAGGTATTTTTAATACATGTTAGCAGTGCAGGTAGCATTATCACATTCACTTAATGATTTATCAAAAAAATGCAGCGCAGTACTGTAAACTCAAATAAAGTGCTAAATAAATCAATATGCATATGTAAATACAATCCTGCTTTGTGACAATAATATGTGCTACATTAAATGAATATCAACACACATATGTAAATAAGCTACATATACCAGTGCTAAATAATATTGTATCCAAATACCAAATGAATCATAAACGGTGAACTGTCCCTTTATTACTCCAAAATCTCCTCGTGCTTATGCGATGTGTCTCCTGTGCATCATATATCATCAAGCAAGTGTCCCCAAAAAAAAAAATGTATCAAATTGCTGATGAACTGTCCCTTTAAGACCACTGTGCTCCAAGTGAATACGTGTGATCACTCTACTACACATATATTATTTATATATATATATATATATATATATATATATATATATATATATATATATATACACACACACACACACACACACAGTGTTTCCATGTCACCCCTCAGTGCTTATCCACCTCCGACACACTATTGCGCTCACCTTCTGGTTTGACCTGAATATTCAGGTCAAACTGCGCCTTTCCCTTTAACCCGGGAGAGTATGTTGATACAAAAGTTCTCCACCTCCTTTAGCACATCTAAGCTCCAAAACGCTCTGCAGATAAAAAAAAAAAAAAGGCTCCATATAGTGAAGTATATCCAAAATGTATTAAACTTTTATTTAAATAATGTTAAAATGCACTCACATTTGTAAGTGTCCACCTGGGACACTACAGGATTAAATACTCTTTATACAGTGTATTTCATGAATGGAATGACTTGGATCCCTCATTCAAAATGGCGGTACGTACACTTCCGGTTTATGGCTTGATGTTATCGGCGTACCCTACGCGTTATGTCACGACATGTGACTTCATCAGCACTTTATTTGAGTTTATAGTACTGCACTGCATTTCTTGATGGTTTATATGTGGGAACACATTACATGCTAGCTGCAATATTTGATGTATAGGTGATCCAGTGTGCTGTAGGTATTTCATACACATTTTGACATTCACTTAATGGTAAGCTTTTTTAAGTTTAAATTTTGTCACAATTTTTATAAAATTAAGAAATTAGCAAAATTTGTATTTTTTGTTTTCAGAACAGCACCATCATACGACATGTGGCAGTGATCGGGGATACTGACTGGTGACTGTATGTACCCTACCAATACAGTACCTGCTGATCACTGACCACCCTATTACTACACACTGCTCACAGATTTCAGTATTGTACAGGTACAAGGCAACACTGCATTACAAACTACTGACTACTGAACTCTGTTGCAACCAAAATTGTAGGCCTTGTTCACACAGGTATACTTAAGCATACACCTGTGCAAGGGCCACACAGGTATCCTTTGCATCCACATGCAGGCAGTCCTATTGATGCCAATTGGGATGCAGCAGCTGCACGAACACACTGCTCCCACTTTCATGTGGGTGCAGGTGTGTGTCTGAACACAAAGTGTGAGTTTGGGGACACATGCCTGCACAAATGTCAAATTGGAAGCAGCGTCTTTATCTGTGCAACAGCTGCCTCCCAATTGACATCAGTGGAACTGCACGTGGTTGTATGGGCCACCTGTGCATTCCCGTGTGGGCAAACATGGCACAGATGTATGCTTAAGTACACCCGTGAATGAGGCCTTAGGCTGGTGTGCCCTGAGACTGTGCATAATTTTAAAAGATTCCTTGACGTTAAGAGACACTGCCCTACTCTATCCAAAATGAAAAAAAGTTGTGACTATATATGCACTTAAAATGTGAAAGCATACAAAGGGGGCCTGGATGACTTGTGGCTATTTGTATGATTTGATACAGTTTTAAAAAAATGATCCATTAAGGCAAAGTTACAGAGCAAATTTGCTTATTGGGTGCCAATTTAAATTGTTGCGCCCATGTTTGTTTTTTTTTAATGAATGTTTAGCTTTTATTAGCTTTTCTTTTTTTGTGTTCATTTCATACAATTATCTTCCACAATGCAATATAATTGATCACCTTTGCTGCTTTGATTTGTTGCCTGGTTCTAATCCTTTATGATTGTAATGCTCTCTCTTTGAGGCCCATTACTGACTGATATAATCTAGAATGTCTTGCTTAGTGTGTGCTTTACTAAATGGATGTCTTGCTGTTTTAAGTTAAAAATAAATATGAAATTTGTGCTTCCATTCATCAGTTACTTGATGAGGAAGGCAAACAATTTTTTATACTGTTTTCCACCGTTTGATAAAATATTTCATTATATTTCCAAGCACTTTTTAGTTTAAACCGCCTCCTAAGTAATTTGTTTAAATTGGTGAGCTGTACAATATAAAATTGTGCAAAAAAGGGATTTGAAAGGAGAGATGGCAACGGATTTTTGAAATACTGAAAAGCATATGTTGCTGGATGTTTTTTTTTTGTTTTGTTTTGTTTTGTTTTTCTTCAATCAAAAAAAATTCAATCAGTGTGGGGTTTGCTTGAACAGGACTATGTGTGGCATGTGAGAGGATGCATCTGCAAGAGCTCCTGCCCTATATTATCCATTGGTTTCTATGATCTTTAAAAGCATGCCATGCCCTATCTTGGGTAACCCTGCTTCTGCATTCACTGCTTTTTGTCCCATTCTGGCAAGATAACTTGGTGAAACAAGGATGAAGATGGTACTGTCATGAATCCCCACCCAGAAAAACAGACCAAAATGTCCAAAGATGCAGCGCACTGCTTCCTAAAGTTTGCCAGAACACCAGGGAAAGATGCAGCTTGTGAACACCCACCTTCTAAGAAACAGGTGCCCAAGCTTGCATTATATTCTCAAAAGAAAGGGAGAGTCTGACAATGAGTCCGAGGATACTATTATGGAGGTAGTGAGCTCTGATAATACAGAACCAACTAATAAATAAGAGACCACTGAGTTCATTCCTGAATGCAGCACTGACTTTATGGAGCCATAAACAAATACAATAAAGCTTTAGGTAACTTGAAAGACCACGTGGGTGGCATCAAGAAGGAAGTGTCGTCATGGGGGCAGAAAATGAGGGAATGCACAACGACCCTAGAAGGTAGACTTGCAAAGTGGAAGATTATTTATACCCTCTCATTAGAGATCTTAAAGCTGCGTCTCAGTTTACTGCTAACTCCTCTAAAAGTGAAGACTGAGAGAAAAGGCTTCTCTAAAATAATGTTGGTATAACTGGGTTACTGGAGTGTTCCAAAGGCCCTAAAGCCTCATACACATGTTTTTTCGTTCAGCCCAGCAGTACTGAGTACTTCTAGTGCCGGATTGTCCGCAGCTGCTGCTAGCCCCACAGTGATGAGGGAGGAGCAGGGCCCATTGGACAATTCAGAAGAGAATTTGGAGGATGACTCAGATTCCGAAGAGCGAGAGATTGGTGAAGGGAAGGAAAATAAGCAGCAGAGATTCCCGTTTCCTGCGGAGGAAACTGAAGAACTGTTAAAAGCAATTCATGACACTTTGGGGTTCGAGGGAAAAAGAAAAGGTGCTCATGCTCCATGATTAGCTTTATGCAGGGCTCCGAAAAAAACAGGCGTGTTCCTTTCCGGTGCACTCCACTCTCAAGGAAACTATCCTGCGAGAGTGGCAGGAGCTAGAAAAGAAAGCTTTCCTCCCTAACGGTCTTAAATGGAGGTTCCCATTTAAGGAGGACAACTCAGATTTGTAGGAAAAATGTTCACATTTGGATGCCTCCTTAACAGAAGTGTCAGCCAAATTTTCCAGGAATCCTCCAAGACAGCATTAGTTCCCACCAATTCTTTTATGCATTTATCCGTTTTTCTTTAATTATGTATTTTGTTGTAGCATTCAGTAATTTTCTACTACTGAGGGACTATGTGATGGCCTTTTTAAACTAATGTGGATCATATGTTTTCTATCTAGGTAGGAGGAGCCTATCTCTTGGGTAGCTGTCCTAGAAGATTCTTGGAAATAGAGTTATCATATCATAACTTTGTTTTTCTAAATCATCTTCCAGGACAGCTGGAAAACCTGTTTAAACTTAGAAAATGTATCATTTTAAGAAAAAATGAGGTAATTTTTGAAATGGCACCAACGGGTCTCAAAAGTTGGGACAGGGCAACAAAAAGCTGGCAAAGTAAGTGGTACTAACAAGGAATAGCTGAAAGAACATTTTACAAACAATTTAGGTTAATTGACAACAGGTCAGTAACATGATTGGGTATAAAGAGCATCTTTGGAGGGTCAGAGTTTCTCAGAAGTAAAGATGGCTGAGCATCAGAGTTTCTCAAAAGTAAAATTGGGCATAGGTTCACCAATCTGAAAAGCTATGTCCAAACATTGGCATACAAGTTCAGAATAATTGTTCCTCTGTGTAAAATTGCACAGGCTTTAAATATACAGTATCATCTACAGTACATAATATCAAAAGATTCAGAGAATCTGGAAAAATCTCTGTGCGAAAGGTACAAGGCAGAAACATAATATTGGATGCCCATGATCTTCGGGTCCTCAGATGGCAGTGCATTAAAACAGGCATGATTCTGTAATGGACATCACTTCATGGACTCAGGAATACTTCCACAAATTACTGTCTGTAAACACAGTTTGCTGTGCCATCCAATAATGCAAGGTAAAGCACTATAATACAAAGAAGAAACCATATCTGAACCTGATCCAGAAACACCGCCATCTTCTCTTTGCAACAGACCATTTGAAATGAGCTTTGGCAAGTGGAAAACTGTTCTATGGTCAGATGAATAAAGATTTGACATTCTTTCGTGTAACCATGGGTACCACATCCTCTTGACATAAGAGGAGAGAGACCTTCTGGCATATCAGTGCTCAGTTCAAAAGCCTGCATCTCTGGTAGTATGGGGGTGCTTGCAAATCTGGAAAGGCACCATCAGTGCTGAAAGATATATCCAGGTTTTAAAGCAGCATATGCTCCCATCCAGACATTTTTTTTTTCAGGGAAGGCCTTGCATATTTCAGCAGGTCAATGCTAAACTGTATACTGTATCTATGACAACAGCATGGCTTCCTAGTAGAAGAGTCCCGATGCTTAACTGTCCTGCCTGCAGTCACCAATTGAAAATATTTGGCATATCTTGAAATGAAAAATACAGCAAAGAAGACCTAGGACTATAGAGCAATTAAAATCCTATATCGGGCAAAAATGTAACAGCATTCTTCTCCCAAAGCTCCAGAAACTGGTTTCCTTAGTTCACAGATGTGTGCAGAGTGTTGTTGGAAGAAGAGGGGATTTTACACCACGAAGAGGAATTGGTGTGAGAGGGAAAGCAGTTGAATGATAGTAGTGAAGAAATGCCTCAGAGAGGAAAACAGACATAAGGCTAAAGGAGGTAAGGTGACTTGGATAACAGACGTGGTGAAGATGGATGTCAGGTATGTGGAGGCCTTGGGGAGCGGCAAAGAAGCTGGATGTTAAGGGGTTCATGGGATTCTGAGGTGCAGGCAATTGTAGGGAACAAAGTAAAACAGACAAGCTGTCTGAGGGGTGATGCAGAATTAGAGGGAAAGGGAGTAAAAGGGATGGAATGAATGGTTGTGGAGGCTTAGAGGGGATAAAAGTATCTAGAAGGGTATTGAGGAAGGGAAGCTGAGGGAGATGAAGACATACATAGAGCTGTGGGGAGTGAAGCAACTTGGATAAAGTAAGGGGTGGAGTTGGATGTCAGGTGTGAGGGCAGCCTGATAGGGGTATTAAAGTAGGGAGTATAGGGGACTGAGGAGAGAGCAAGTGGTCAGGGTTAATTAGGGAACTCAGTTCAGGCATGGGGGGGGGGGGGGGGGGGGCTAGTGGCTAGGGTGGTTTAGACAAGGGGTGCGTTGCCATGTGATGCCAGCAATACAGGAGTGTGTGACTGCACATCCAAGGTAGGGTAGGTTAAGTGGAGGGAGATGAAGACATACATGGGTGGGGGGAGTGAGGCAACTTGGATAACAGCCTGGGGGGAGAAGGGTTGGGTGCTAGGGAAAGGCAGTTGGGGTGATTGGGTTGGAGAGGAGAGAGCAAGGACAAGTAGGGAACACAGTTCAGGTAGTGGTGGTGGGGGGGGGGGGGACAGGAGTGGGTAGTGGATGCTTTAGACACGGGTCTGTTGGGTTACAGGTATGTGTAGATTGTGTTATCTGGGTGTTACCTGCCATTTGACCCTTCCTTCCCACCCTGTACTCAGTCTCGTCCCCCTCAGCTAACGCAACACCTTCCAGTGTTCCATATTAAAAAAAGTTGGTACATGGTCATGTTTACCTCAGTGTAGCATACCTATATACAGTGCATTATTTTAAAAGGCTCTGGTGAGTTAAGCTGGCCATATATGGATCAAAATTCTTTTGGTTCAGCAGGGACCGAACGAATTTCAATCCATGTATGGGGAGGGAGGTTGTACAGAAATCGATCTTCCAATTGACTTCTGTACAACCACGCTGTTGGATTTTCCTTTCTCAATCACTTCCTGCAGGTTATAGGCTACAACACTGATTGGTGTATTCTGATGGCAGAGAATTCTCCTTGCAGTCAGAATACAACAGTTCACCGGGGAGGATTCCCCCACACCTCGAATGTGCAGATGGATGAAATCTAGTCACTTTTTTTTGTTCAACCACCTGTAGGCTGCTTAAAGTGGTTCTAAACCAGGAAGTTTAGCATTAAGGCAAAAAACCCCTTCCACTAGCATTTTATATAAATACCAAATAGGTGATTTTAATACAGCAGCTGGTACAAAGACGTTTTATAGGTTAGGAATTAGTGCTGACCAGGGGTGGACTGACCATTTGGAAACTCTGGCACTGCTCGAGGGCGCGGGGGTCAGTAGGGGGCCCCATGAGATGCCCCTGGTACCTTTTTCATAGGCTTTTTTGAGTTTGGGCAAGGACACAGGGGCCCCATGTTCCCCTATTGCCCGGGGGCCCCATGATTTGTCAGTCCGCCCCTGGTGCCGATATAGATTGGATTTAGAATCAATGTATTATTTCTCTTAATAAAGCTTGATTAAAAAATAACTAATGGTTAATTTCAATCTTGGGGTACATTAAAAATGTATTTGGTACTTCTGAAACAAAAAAGACTGACATTGTAGCAAATTAATCTGACTAGGTACTTTACTGAAATTCATTGTATACTTTAGTGGTTCTTGAAATAAGGTGATATGCCTAGTGAGAGGTTTTTATGAACACTAAATGCTATATTAATTTAATGAGGTTGAGAATAACTGCTACAATTCGATATCAATAGTGACATTATTTTTTATGTACGAATTAAGTTGACAGTATATTATGTTCATTATTATTGTGTATGTTGTCTGTTATGTGTTGTGGCTGCTTTGGTGATATGATTTTTATACTTGATGATAACACCTAATGTTTTCTTTGGTCTTTCAAATTAGGTGAAATCTCATGTTCTGCCAACTGCATCAGAGGAGTTCAGAGTTCCAAACCAGACATTGAACAGTGCTTTTCTGAATATTGATGCAGACTCCATTCCAAAGGGTAAAATTTCTATTGTTGAGGCTATGACCATTCTTGGCAATTACAAACATTCTCCACAAACATGGACTGCAGAGAGGATAACAAAAGAATACAGCTTAAATATTCAAGACACCAAGGCCCTGTTGGAACATTTTAAACCTTTTGAAGTGAAGATCATTTCCCTAAAAATTAAGGAACAGATTGAGGACTTGTAAGGCTGTCGGAGGACTTTTATCTGGAGGACTCTCGTGGAATTTGTGCTTGTTTTCTTACTGTTCTATATTTTGAATGGGTATTCAAATATTGCTTTGAAAGCAGATTTATAAAGAACCTCTACATAGTTTAAGTTTCAAGTAAATTATAAATTTGTAACGCTTGTGTGTAATATATGGACACGGTCTTTCTATTTGAAGATAACTCTACTTGGTAAGAATTCAGCAATTCATAACTATGTGCTGTAAACTAAAATGGTAATAAGTATTTCATATATTAATTTGCTGTGTTAAGTTATAGCACTAGTTCACTGTTTCAGATGAAGCAGTCTGGAACTTGCAGCTGGTGATCTGGCCAGTAACCCGTTTCCTGTATTACAGTGTCCACACTCTGGATGAAGGAGCACAGGGGTTCCTTTGGACAGCAGCATTGTCATTTTGGGGGGAGGGGAAAGTTAGGTGTACTAGCAGATTTAAATTCACTAACAAATTGAAGCCAAACGCCAGCTAATACTTTACAAGCAGTTACAGCAAACCGTTTTTGTCCTTTGGGAAAAATGTATTACAAAAATAAAAGCTGATCATTGTAAGCACCCCTGTCTGTCTCTTCCCCTGTAATTGATACTTTTGCAGGAGAGTTTGTTCTTGTGAAAAATAGACGTACTGGGCAGATCACCAAATAAAAATAGAAAAAAAAGCCAAAAACAAGAAAACCAATGTAGCCTAACATCTAAGAATTGGTAAGCTGTAATATAATAAATGTTAAGCCAAAATAAATGTTTGCTTTTGGATTTAATACCACATTAAAGATGTGTCCTGCTTACCTGCATCTGGGTATGAAGCATAGTGCAGGCTTGCACTCCTCATTGGGATCAGGGATCCTTATTAGCAGTATCTCCCTTTTCTGAGTGAAGCTGAAAGCATAATAAAATTGGCCTGTAGCACACCACGTGTAATTGGCCTGTTAAAAAAAAAAAAAAAAAAAAACAAACGGAAAAAAAAAAATGAGGTCGGGAATTCATTCCATTTAATAAAATGATTACCAATAATTTTTTTTTATAACCAATAGACATTATTTCAGAAACTAGAACAATAGCACTTTCTAGACATATTTTTTTCCAAAATTGAGTGCACTGGACCTTATGATTTACAGCACTGTTGTGGAGACCAGAAGCAGGAATTTGTATAGGCTTTATGTTATCCTTTTCCTTGTTCATGCATATACTCACTATTTTCTCATTCTTGCTCCTTCATTCATTCTGTAAGCTCTAAACCAACTTAGAGCTCACACAAGGCAATGGGGTCTCTCCTTGGCCTCATGTAACAGCACTGCACCAATCACAAGGTGCCAGCACTGTCACATGACCACCCATATCCAGGAGCACTGGGAATTTCAATTTGCTGCTGAACATGAAGATGGGGGGTGGGGGGTGTTAACCTAGGGTTTTCATCTACAAGCTCTATAAATCATCTACTTTGGATCATCTACTTTGATCCAAAATGTGGCTGTATTTATGTCAGAGGCTAATAATGCATGGTAAAACATATAGTTCCAGAGCAGCTGGAAAGCCACAGGTTGCACTTCTGGTTGAAGCTGTAATCCATTTTCTGACATGATTTTATAGACACAGGGCAATATTTGTAATAAATGTGACACATAGCGGTATATTTGCAGAGCTATTCATCCTGCAACACTGCTTGTATATTTGTTCTGTGCAGATGTAAGCAACATCGAATGTTAATAGGTTATTTTCTCTCCAGGTAGGATGTTTATTAAAATAATGCCACTAGATTTAGCTGACTATCCCAGTAAATAATATCCTTGTGACATTTGATTTTGCTGGCATATGCACAGAAAGAATGTACATGTAGTTTCACAGGGCAAATAGTTATGCAAATGTTTTATAAATACACCTCCTAGTGTAGTAGAGTTCAACCCTCTTCAAGTTTGGAACCAAGAATTATGATATTAAATACATTATTGCATTTCTCTGAGGTGTCTAGAAATTATATTATAGCTAGCCTAGCATGAAAATGCTAGTGTCTCTAGAAAATGGGGTCTGAGGTAAGGGCTTTTTCTCAAGCAACCTTTTGGCTCTTTTTTTTAAAAGACTTTTTTTTTTAATTTGAGGGGCTCTTGATAAACAGACCTTGCAATTTAAACTAATACAGGACTCCCAGTGGAATACACACTTTGTAAGGTCTATTGAACAAATACAGCCATTGGGAGGGTATCAAGCCTTTACAGGGAAAGTACCAACGTTCTTTGCATAACTGCAACCCCCATAGTAGACCAATATGGGACTTTATGTGGATGCAAATCTATAAAAGAAATCGAGAGCTTTGGCTGTACTTCTTTAAAGTATGATACAGTTTTATGGAAAATAAATAAACTTAACATTTTTATATAACATAATACTGTGAAATGGTACCAATAAAGTCTCATGTTGGTCTGCTATGGTGGCTGTCACTCTCCAAATCTACTTGGTTTATGATTTGTTGCAAAGATCCTACAGAGCAGTTAAAGAGAAACTAAACTCTGAAAGCTGTGCCCAAAAAAGGCAGCTAGTGGGCAAAGGATTAGTCTCCCTGCAGTGGATGTTTTTCCCATTACTCGCTTTCCCTTGCTTTGAGCGGTCTATCCATGTTGAGGTGGTCATCATGGTAGAGACAGGGCTTTGCTGCCTTATGTAAGATCCTCCAGAAAGGAGATCAGTGAGTAACTGTCACGCTTACCCCTAATGCAGGTGCTCTGACACTATAGCTGGCTTCTGTGTTCTTCACCCATAGCAGAACCCTTTCCCATAAGGCAAGCAGGCCTACCGGTATCCGGTTGCCCCCAGGACTTATGCACATTGCTATAGTGCCTGGATATCACACTGGGGCAGGTGCAAACTGAGCGGATCAAACAGGTTCTTGCAGTTGGCAGACAGGCAGAGTGGTTTAATGACAGTCCAGGTACAAGGCAGGTAAGGTTCAGGATAGTCAGATCCATAGTCAAAAGGCAGGCAGAGTTCAGAGTAGTCGATATCCTATCTGAGGAATCTAGACTGGCAGATAATCGGGGAGCGTGGAGCACATGTTACAAACACAGTATCACAAGTCTGAGACTGTAGGCTTGGCTGGCTTAAATTAGGTGTGTTCTCCACCCAGAGACTGGCCACATAAATCACCTTGCAGATGGACAGACAAACAGGAAGAATGTTTCCTATCACAACCAAAGCCAGGATGCTGGAATGAGACCGGCAGCGTTATCTGTTCCTGACAGTAACACAGAAGAGACATCACCAAGATCTCACAGGACCAGCAGTCAGAAGCACAGTGCCTTAGATCTCACACTGTAGCTATGAAGCTCTAAGCACAGGAGTGCGTAGGTGCCTTTGCATACTAAGAAATGTACTGCTATTATTCTGGAGTAATTAAAGACAAAGGGTATTTTTATGGGTGCGGCATCAGTAACATTTTCAAATGTTCCCCATAACATAACGAATTTTCACTTTTGAGTTCAAGTCCACTTTTATGTAAACCCAATCACTAAAATCTTGTAAATAATTTAAAAAGGTATTTTCAATATTTTTAGATTTGCAGCTTTCATTAAAATAATGCTGACATGATCATGGTAACCCTGCCAAGGTGGTCCTTCTGCAGATGCTTCCTGTTAAATGGCGCTAATGCCCTGTCCCTGTCTACCAATTTTGCTTTAGTGTTGTCACGCTTTCAAATACAGTCTCCATGATCGTTACAAGTAGCAGTGCCAAGGCAGATTGCTCAGGTTTGATCCACTGTTTCCTGAAGAATTACATTCAATAGTTGCTGGTATGTAAGCATGAAGAAAGAAAGAGGTGTATGATATTGCAGTTCTGACAAAGGATGGAAAAAAAAAAAAAGATGAGAAGAGTATTTTATTTTTAGATATGTAGCATTTGTTTGATTCATATTGCATTCACAAGTAAATGACATTCAGTTAAGATTTACATGAACTTAAAATGCATGGAAGCATGCTGTCTCTAATAGACCAAGGATAATACCACGTCTTGTTAGAGATTAAGGGGTGTTTGGGGTTCTTGCTTATGCTTTATATGTCTGTAGGTAACCTGGACAGCTGCCAAAACTTCAAGCCTAAGTTTTGCTAAATGATTTTATTCTAAAGGTCTGCATAAGGGATGGCACTTGAATTCAGGTAGATGTTTCCTTTGTCTTGCTGACTGCACTTAGCTGAAATCCAAAGTCCTATGTCCTCCCACCTCAATATCCCATATCCGTAATCTTCCGGTGCGGTGGGGGTTAATACGATCTGCTGGATCTGTCATAGGCATTTATCAAGAATGCAGACTATACCTGCCCTTTCTGCCTCCCTCCTTGATTCATAGAAGCTGTACTATAGCTTCCAGCAGTGAAAAGCAATCCATGAATGAAGGAGGTGCCCTCCATTCATTAAGCACTTTTCATTGCTGGAAGCTATAGTACAACATTTATGAATGGAAGAGGAGGGTAGAAAGGGTGGATATGGTCTGCATTCTTGATGAGTAACAAAAATACATAAGGGATGTGAGCGCTCTAAAAACCAGTGGGATAGGCGGCTGACCGCTGAAGACTTGCGTGCGCACGAAATGCATTAGGAGGAGCCACATCACGCCATTGATGTCACGCTGCCGAAGCAACGTGGAGCTCCGGCGGCTATCTTTAAATATCGGACGGTTAGTCCTATATATCTGTGCTTCATACTATCTACCTGCTTTATACTATAACAATTTGATGCATCGATTTTAATCACTATTGGAATAAAATTCTTCATTTTAAATCACACTACACTATGGGTATGTCCCTATTTTAACTCCCTGGGGGAGTTTTAATTTTCAGACACCTGGCCATCTTATATCAAGAGAGGGGATCTCTCATCCAGGGAGCAGCACCCTTTCAACCCCTTGGGGGGAACTCTGGCAGATGCGGATCACCTTTAACAACCTTGGGATCCCTTTGATGACAACCCAGGGAAGACATCC